GCTGTATATACAGTATTTAAGATGCTTCTACATTCTTCACATACCTTGAATACTGTTTTGAGCTGTTGAAAGGAGAACTTCATAGTCCTTTAAGCATGTGATGTTTACTACACAAATAGTCACATATTCCGATAATGATATGTCTGTGCACATCTTGAATTCACAAATAATGTTGAATTACACCGTTTTGCTATAACTCTCAACCATCTACTACCGAGGAACTCGTTACACACGGCTGTGTACACCTTAACACCTGTTAAGCCAGCTTCACTGCTCTAATGCTTGTGCTGCTCTTTATTTTAGTGAACTTCACTCAAACTGGACTAAATGTAAAACTAGAAAATGATAATTATGTCCGAGTCTGCACCCAAGCAGATATCTGTTGTATCGATGTAGAACTCCACAACATCTCTAACTCTGAGATGGCGTTCTTACTGTTTGATAAATGTCTTGTCAATTTCATCAGAATAACAGCTAAACATATATAATGCCAATAAACCTCTTTCTTAGTGTTTCTTCATTGCACTCACTACAAGAAGACTCAGTTTAAACTCTAAAGGTACCAATTTGGTTTACATGTTAGTTGCAACAAGAATTTATCTATGATAAAACACGCGCTTCTTTTGTGTGAACTCTCTACATCAGCTAGTAAACTGGTGAGAAACACTCATAGGCAAAACACCAGAAACTGCTCCTCTAGGCTTTGTTGTTGGAGACCCAATGTGCCACAACAATAAAACTGGGAGAGCTGTTCATCATCACAGAGAAATCAGTGTAGCTTGGGCAATGACAATGCCATAACTTTTTCTGCCTATGTCTTTTTTTACTTAATCATGTTTTTATGTTCTTATTTCATGAAGTGTTTCAATGTAATTTTGCAGTGAAATTTAATGTAAGTATTTTCCTAATTGTGCAGTTAAAATTAATTCACATAATAAATTATATGCACATTGTTAAGTTATCAGAGCTGAAGTAGGGTGTCAGTTTCACAATATTTTTGTAGATACTATTGAGAGCTATCAACTCATCACCTCATGTACGATAATGTCTGCTCAACAAAGTGAGATCGTAAACCTTTTTATACCGTTTTTTTTTCCTGAAGTTAAATTAGTTTTAGTTATTTGCTGCTAGACTACATTGTACCAATTCTTTAAAATGAAAGAGTAGCACTTTTAAAAAAAAATATAACCATCTGGTATTCTTCTGTGCCAACTGTGCCAAATGCAGCCTGCTACTTTTTTCTTTGGATTATAATGATGGCGCAGATAGCATGGATTAGTATATCTTGGTGTTCCCCATCCAATGTTTGGATGTGGGTTTCTTAGATTGCCATTTTATTGCCTAAATTTTGCTCTTTTCGCTAGCCTCTTTAAGATCTTCATAGTGGTCAGTTGTTCTTTGGGGACTGGGTTTCATTGCAGCTGTTTATTCAGCATCATCAAGTGACGCTGTAAATGGCAGCAGGCCAGTTACTCTCTGGTCTCCTGGGACTTCTCGTGTGTCATGTCACTATAGAGGCACGCAGGTCAGCTCTGCTTCATGCACACTACATGTTCTGTTCTGCTTAGATCTGCATGACCGCATTTTGTGGTACATGATCATCAAGGTGTGTGCAGGAAGCCTGAATGAACCTCTCGGTTTAAGGTGTTATAGACCATCTATGTGTATGTATGTGTGCGCACGTAACAGGCTTTGGAACAGTTAAGTACAGTTGGATTATTTTGGCTCTTTGACATGTTTGGATAATATTTCTTCCAAAATAAAAGTTTTGCCAAGATTTAGGACATATCCTCACCTGTCTCATCATCTTCTACCAAGGGGAAGTAAAAAACAAAACAAAAAATATTGTTAATGCAGCAATCATACCTGAAAGAATACATTTGCAGTTAGGTTCATAAACTCTTTAGATGGTCTCATTATTTTTGCTTGTTACCACAGTTCTATTATTTTCAATTTCATTTAAGCCCCTAAAACAAATGGGATGTTTTATTAATTGGTATAATTCCTATAATCTGTCAAACTGTAAACATAAACATGAATTAACAGGAGCTCTGGGGCTTAAATGTGTTGTATATATGACAAATATTTGTGGCGCAAGTGTAGATCTAATGACATTTCAAAATTTTGACTGATTCAAATGGTTGTCTTGGGAAAAAAAAACCCAGTAACTACCATGTTTACAATGTAATGTTGATAAGCTTCGTTTTAGCTGTCTGGGGACCAAAAACCAGGACACTGACAGTAACGCATAAACCTTTAATTAAAACCCAGGGATTAAACAGGCTTAAATATAAAATTTCATGAGTAAAGTTAAGAATAAGTCATTGAAATGAAGTCCAGTCAGACTGTTGGTAATGCTGATTTGTGAAAAGATGGAAAGCAGGAAGAACGAGTTACAAAGAAAAAAAAAAAAAGTTAGGACACTCTAACAACTGTATTTGTTGTTAATGGACTTATATTGACTACAAGCATGAAACCACACAGAGTATTCCATGTCCGCACATAGAGGAGCTCATTCTCTGGGGCTATGGATAAGTGTTGATGCCCCCACTCTCACTCAGAGATGTCCCCCCAGACTCTGAATATCCCTGCCCTGTCTTCTGTCCTTTTCCTCCTTCCTTCTCCTCTTTCCTCTGCCTTTATCCTTCCATCGTACCTATTGATTGGCCTATAATGTGTTTTCAGTGGTAGATTAATGGCACATTATCCTGACAAGGGTGTGTGAGGGGACAGGACGTGAGGGAGAGTGTTAGAGATGATGTTCTTTAATTGATATGCTCTGGTGTGTGTGTGTGTGTGTGTGTGTGCGCGCGCGCTTGTGTGTGTTATATGAAACAGAAACATGAAATTAAAAACTCACATTTTTATTAGAAAATGGATGAATGGGCAGAGATTTTAGATTATTTATTTAAAAATCGAAATAAAATAATTTTTATAAATAAATGAGACATTAATCAGGATAAGGTAAGAATTTTTATGAATTTTGGCAAGTACCTTTTCACTTCGTGCAGAACCAGGAGGTTCCTTATCTAAAATCTCCATCCATTCATTCGTCCATCCATTTTCTTAATTACTCATCTGACTTGGGTTCTATCCCAGGGCTAAAGCAGACAACCACATACTCTCACACCCACACTTACAGTTACCTAACCACTGCAATTTTACAAAAAATGCACGTCTTTTGAGCGTAAGAGGAAGGAAGACTATTTGGAGGCGACCCACCCAGGCATGAACAGAATATGCAAACAAAGCAAGAATCATGTACAGACCCCAGGAGATGGAACCAAGTGCTAACCACTGCATCACCGTGCCATCCTGGAGGTAAAACTGAGTTAACAAATTGTAAGAAATATGTCAAGCCAAGTATGGCGAACACTGCAAATGTAATTAGTTCCCAGAACTTAAAAATATTATGCAAAATTGTTCTCTTTTAAAGTGCCGACTAAGTTAGGGCAACTCATTCATTGTAAGCATCTAATCACAGTGAATGAGTCATAGCACAGCTAGTTTGACTCGGGCTTTTGAAATGCAAAACAGAACTCTCAAAAAGCTGCAGCTAACCAGGATGACGCAGAGAAAACTGGTATAAATTTCAGTGTTAATGTAAACTTAAAACAAACCCATTTTCCAGCGTAGTGTCACTTAGTTCATTTAGTTCATGAGCGTTTTCACTCTCTCACTTAGCTTGGCTTACAATTAAATATTGGACACCTTCCAATGTGGTCTCGTCCTCCCTCATCCCTGCACTCTCTCGCCTATTATCTCTGTCTCTGTATCATTTGCTTTTATCTCAGTTCATCCCCTTCGGCATCATTCAATTTCCTCAAGCAATTTGCATTATGGAGTGGGGGGTGTCTAAATAAGCAGATCAATAGGCCATCAAACAGTCCTTAAGTGTGACACATACACAGATCTTGTGTCTCAGATTTCCACCTCTAACTAATAGCCTTGTTGTTTACTTTACAATGTGCTGTGTCATGAAGTTTTTGTGTAGGGTTGCCCTACAGGGCATTGGGACTCCCCAGAGAATCCATTTGCAGACTTTTGCAGTGCTGACTGAGGCTGGAGAGCACAAATACAAATACTCTTTTGCAAACATTTTCTTTTCTTATTTTGTTTCGGCAGAATTGTTGAACGCTCAGAGGCATGAATACTTTTTCACCGAATGTTATTCTTCCCCTTTAGTTTTACTTCCCTGGAAAAGTGTTGAAAATGTTTGTGACAAACCCACACCATTGCCCTATGAAGCCAAAAATAGAATTTCAGTTAAAGAAAATCTCCCATGTGAAATCTTTTGGTGACAGTCTTTTCTGTACTTTAATGGATGGGCTCTCCCATCATCCTGGGTGATGACCTTTGTCAGTTGACAGCGAGAGGTCAACAGAGGTTAAAGTAATAGGCGAGCTAAGAAAGGGGCCCCCGCCTAGTCATGCAGAAAGGAGCTGCCAGAGCTTTACACAGGCATAATGTGCGCACACATACACACACTTGGAGTTGCTCTCCATCCAACAGAGACAGCACTTCCTCGCTCCTGACCAAACAGACCTCGGCTATAGAGAGGCACAGACCCATGCAGAAATACAAATGTGATCGTAGTTTTTCCAACACAAACACACACTCATCAACTGGTTCTGAGTGATCTCTCCCTCTCCCCCTCCATCTCTTTCAGTGTTACACACTCTCCTGCTCAGTCCCTCTCATTCAGTCACAGGCGCACACAGTCGGGCTTCAGTGCGCAGATTACTGTGATGAGCTATGACAGGGCAAGAGGCGAGAGGGAAGCACAGTAAGAATGGGAGAAGAGGACAGAGTGACAAAATGAAGCGAGTACAGTGGTGGAAGCAATTAACACTTCTTATGAGAAGTACTGAACTCAATTTGTGCGTTTATGTATGTGACACATAACAAATCAAGCTGATCATCAAAGTGTTTACTTTATTCTCTACAGTCCAACAGCTGAAAGCCTTGGTGCCTTGAAGACGGCATGATCTTCTCCATTAACTATGGCTTGAATGTTAATAATATACCATTTGGCCACACCTCGTATCTTGACAGTCCGCCGTCATGTCTGAGCTGGTAGCCGCTGGGGATTGTGGGTACTGAGCAGTGTGACTCTCCAGCAGCTCTGAAACACGAGACAGCCTGCCAGACATAACAGGCCTCTTTTCTTCAGTGAACACACACACTCGATGGAGTCGATGTCTGAATCACACACAATGATAGATGTGAATGCCTCTGAGATTCCTTTATTTGCCACAGAGGATCGGTAATGAACACATAGTGTCCTGTTTTTCTCTTAAGTAACTTCATTTTAACTATGTGATTATACCTCCGTAGTAGATAGAATAGATTACTCGGTATGATTTAGGCCTATGCTATTATAAATGTGCAGGTTAAGTGTTTTGGCAAAGTGCCCCGTGGGGGTCAAAGGGCAGTACTGATAAGGTTAGCTCACTTTCAGCTCATTCAATGCAGAGCGAGAATTTTTGTTAGTGGAGAAAATGGCATTATTGTTTTTGACAAATTATTGTTTTCAATTATGTTTTCTTCTGTTGTCTGTGATGGACCACTTAGTCTAAGTCAAGGGTATTATGCTTGTGGCACACTCAGACTCCCTGTGGGCATCAGTGAAATAACAAATTATCTTTGGTCTTGGGAAAATCATAAGATTTGAAACATCACAATGTTACCCTGTGAAACACCATCACAGTGTTTTAAGATATTTTGCAGACAAATGTTACTTGTTTTTTTTAGTAAAAACACTATAAATCTTAAATCTAGATTTAATTTTTTTACATTATTTTGCATCATTTTTTCCTTTAACAGAAGACAAGTATTAGACAATGACTATCGTTTTATACCTTGTTAGGTATACCACAAGGCATACTTTAAATTCTGAAAATGCATATTATATCGCCATTTAGAAAACATGTTACTTGCTGTAGTTAGGGATCATTACCAGTTACTTTCTCTTTTTATTTTCCTTCTTGTTAGCTATATAATTTAAACAGCTAAGACATCTTATCTCAGAAATAAGAACTCCAGAAAGCAGATAGCCTTGTTTCTGTTTTGGGGGAAGTGCATTAATTCACTCTGGAGTCCTGGGTGTAAATATCCCCTTGCTAATACAGCTGACACAAAAGAAGTTAACTCAAAAGGAAAGAGCCTTGGCTTGGCTTCACGGGAGTGGGCGAAAAGCTTCCCATTGTGTATGCTTAAAGTCATGCTGGAGATATGTGTACATTGGTTTGCACACTGAGCGCTGGACAGAAGGAAAATTTAGGTAGGCTTTCTGTCATAACCAAATGGGGAAGGAGGAGCTTCACCTCATATCTACATCTGTCAGCTCTACATCTTTGGGTCAAAAGTTTTCCAAAATATTTTAGTTTCTCAGCAAGTTACAAGATTAGTCTCATGTTATTTCTCCTCTGATATAGCACATCGTAACCAAGTGTAACCTGAAGTATTTACCTACAGAAACAGAAGGGAATGTCTGAATGTGTAACCACTTTGCTTCAATGTAAACAGTTTTTTTCTTAAGGTAAAACAGAATTAGTCTCACATTGTATTGCCAATTTCATTTACTGTCATTTGTAGTTATGCCTCTAATATGCCGTTTTTTTTATTCAGTTGAAGATAAAAGTGACACTTTTTTTCCCAGACATACTGAGGTTGTTACTCCATGGTTTGTCTTTTATGACTCAGTATAATAATAATATTCAGCTGGCTGTAAGGTATTTAAAATGAATGTAGTATAAAGTACTGCCCTCCAAATTTAACAAATTATCTATGTTAGTGTGCCACTATTTTGCCTAAGCCTTGTCCTTTCACCCATAGAGGTTAGGATACAGCAGCCTGGTGTAATTTAAAACAAATTTACATTGAGTGGTTTTTACAGAGGCCACATGTTTACGCTTTTGCATGATTTACCTTTTTGCAGCTGTGTTTTTTATTTCTTTTCAGTCAATAGGTCCTACAGAATCCTCTTAACAAAGATATTGAGAAAATTAATTAACCAACAACTGCATCCATAGCATATTATATACAGTTTTGTGAAACTATATACAATTTATGTCCGAAAAACAAGGGTCACTGCAAAATACTGAATCAATTCTGTGAAATATTTCTTGAAGATATTTTAATTACAATTTCAATAAAAGATGTAATGGGCCCACAGGCAAACGTGAAACAAAGTAAGAATGATAAAATATTCAGAAAAACAAAACACATGCGTGAAACAGAATAAAATGTTAATTACATTCATTTAAATACAAAGATAATTTCAGTAAAATTCAAAATTCATTTATGATATAGGAAATGCATGCAAATCGGATATAATAATTTCTTTGGTGGCTTAGGCTGCTGGATATGCTTTTGTCAATAATAACAATAATAATGTAAACAATAAAATGATCTAAATGATATTGTTTTGGGCCTCCCTCGGGCTATCATTAGCGTAGCCTGAGATTGATCTGTACAGGGCTATGTGTAACAATAGGTTTCGTGTCAGGCCTCTACAAAACCCACAGATGACTGAAAATAAATAATACTGAATCCGCTTATTTGTATGTGATATGTAACTACTCCCCTGCCACTGTAGTTGCAGTCTTAATCAACAGTTAAGGCCGCAGAGCCGTCTCCTCCATCTAAACCACCTTAAATGCTTCAAAGTTGGCAACAAACCACTAAAAGTGTCTCTTTCACTGCAGGGAATTGTTAAAAGCATCATACGTCCCCTTCATACAGGCTGAAGTACTTGCTGGCGTTTGAGAAGCAGAGGTAAGGCGTGCTACTTCCCGGGTAGACCACGGGCAGAGGCACGGGCAGCAGGCATCTCCCCAGCAGGTTGCTCTCTTTGTACAAAGCCGGGAGTTGCCCCACCACCACAGGCTTTCCAGTCTCGGGGAAATCGCTAACTGGTCCCTCGATTTCGTTAGAAATTTGTCTTTTCAATTTATTCCTACGGTTCTGAAACCATATTTTTACCTGGGTCTCCGTGAGCTGCAACGAACTGGCAAGGCAGGCACGCTCTGCGCTGCTCAGGTAACGTTTCATGTCAAAAGTAGACTCCAGCTGAAAAATCTGTCTCTTTGAAAAAATAGTGCGTGTTTTCTTTTTCGTTATCATTTTATTCTTCTTGCCTGGGCTCCCTCCTTTGTGGGGGTCTGTGGCTGCGGTGGGAGAGCTGCTGTCATCGCAACTGCTGTCCCCGCTCTCGAAGCGCGCCTCCGTCACCTTCCTCTGATTCCCGCGGCTGATGACGACCGTTTCCGTTGATCCGCTACAGTCTGTGATTAACTCTGCAATAAAATGACACTTTGATTAACCCACTGTGGTCATTACTCAAACTCTGCTGTCACGTTAAACTGAATTATCGACGAGTGCGAGCTGTGCGTAAATATGAACACAGATAGAAATTGGTTCAAAGCTCTTACCACTGTCGTTGAGCCTGTCCGGGTCCTGTCTGGCTTGAGTTCCTTTCTCTTCGTGATGAAAACTGTCTTTACGCATCGCTGTGGCCAGTTCATCCTGCGATCCGGCGGATTGACAAGTGTCACAGTTACTGCCGCTTGTCTTGAGGTTGAGGATGTTGTCGATAGTGAATTTTAGAGAGGCGGTCGGGCGACGTGGTGCTTCTGCTTTGTTCATATTCTCCAAGTCGCTCCAAGTCCTCTCTTGTTTACTTCCTGGAGTCTATTCGTCCTTAACTCTAAACCGGGACGTTAATCTCACCACTTCGTCTCGATACACCATAGCAGCAGTCACTGAGCAGAGCCTGCTGGGCTGGCTGTGCTCTGTACGCGTCGCTGCTACACACACAGGATGGAGCGCTGTGTTCTTGCTGATTGGCCCAAAGAAACGTTTAGCAGTGACCAATAACAGCGCAGGAATGGCAGGGAAAGGGGGGGCTGGAAAGTGATGTTGTGCCTAGACCAACAACCCCCAGTCTTTTCCGACTCCCCCTCATCTTCATGCATCTGCTGCGAGGAAAATCGTCCGGAGCCCTGCAGGGATTCCCCAGGATAATCAAGCAGTTTAATTTTACAGCATATACAGTAGACTAGGTACGCTCTGACACGGTTTTTTTTATTTATTGTAGTTTTCAATCCCCCTTTTTGTGAATTGGGCCACGCAGCTACTTGACTGTGATTTGCGTGCTCACAGTGTTAAATATTTAAGTATTTGTCAGCTTAATATCAAATTTGACTGAAACGAGACTGGCTTAATGTAGCAGTACGTGTTTATCTGAGGAATTTGTTGACGCCCCCCCCCCCCAAAAAAAATATGAATGAATAAATAAATAAATAAAATCTCCTTGAATTCGAATATTAGCTTTTTGTCTTTGCAAATCGTGGCCTTGATGCATTTTCTGTAGCTTTATATAGAATAGCATTTTTAAGTAAAAGCAAAATATTAATTAGAAACCAAAAACATACTTTGATTTAAAACACGCCACATTCACAAAATCGTGACTGTTTTCAGTGTGCCTCTGTATTTTGTAATTAACGCCTATTTTATTGCTGATGGCTACATTTTTGTCATTAAAAACGCTCCAGATGTAGCTAATAATAAAGCTTCCCGTTAGAGTTCACTTTGTATTAATTCTTATTTTATTACTTTTGTATATTTCATATATACTTTTTCATTTGCACCCTTTTAAATGGACCTAATTCACCTTCAGAAACTTATCTTAAGTTGTGAAAACACGTTTTTAGACGTGAATTTTTTTTTCATCCATATTGATTACCTTACTTTCTCCCAAATGAACAGCAAAGTCTTCAGACAGCGTTTCAGTCAAATGTTTAGTGCTCTTTTGTATACTCTCACTGCCTCCTTTGTGCATTGTTATTATTATATATTGTAATTATATACATGTTAGTTAGTTCACTTTAATAAAGACACACAAGGGTTTATAGTATATTGTATAGGCGATCATGCTAAGATTTAGCCGGATGCTACAAAAGTTCAAAAACTGCATTAAACTTAACTTTGTTTCCGGAACACTTTAAGCTTTGTTCCAAACACACTGATTCACTTCATTCCCTATATACATAGGTGTGCAATCCTTCATGATGATTGTTAGACTGGCAGAAGTAAAAGAAAAATGCAGTGTTTCTGTCACATATATGTTTACAAACAACACAAAGGCTGATAGTTTGTGCTTGTTTTTTTTTATTTATTCATTAAGTGAAAAAGTGACAAAGATGGAAAAATGTGTGACTTTAAATACAAAAGTTTGCAAAAATAAGTGTGTATTTAAACATACAGTATTCATCTTGGGCCTCTGCTGCCCTGGAGGCCTTGCCATGCTTGACTGTATTAGGGGTTATGCTATGCAAGAGCAGCACTCTTGTCGGAGTTTATGCACCGACATATAAAGATGGTTCGCTACTTTGTGTCATATGGACTCTGCGGACTGTCTTTGAGTGCAGACAACCTTTTCGGCGGTGTTGGAGGTTATTGCACAATTAATAAAAACGAGGTGATTTTGTGTTATTAGCATACAGTTTAATAAGTCAGTCTTTACACCAGTCCTGTCATCTGCGATCTTAGCATGCTCATTGAGTGAGCAAACGTCGATAGAGGGTAGTTGATGGGGCTGGAGAAGCTTCCCACAGTTTGAGAAACGGGATGTCCGTTTAAGCTGAAACCCAGTGCTGGTGTGGGTCCTTCATGATACAGAATTGGGACCCTGACAATCCGCTGGGTAGAGTTTGGGATTTGTGCAGCCTCTAGATCAGCCGCCAGCTGCCTCTTCCATTTATTCCTCCGGTTTTGAAACCAGATTTTGACCTGAGTCTCTGTCAGGTGAAGAGATGCTGCCAAACCGGCCCTCTCTGAGCTGCTCAGGTAGCGCTTCACATCGAAAGTGGACTCCAGTTGAAATACCTGACTGCGACTGAACACGGTTCGAGTTTTCTTTTTCCTGGCGAAAGTTGCGTCAGATGAAGCGTCTTGTTCTGTACGTGCGTCAGAAACGTTTTGCGCGTCCTCCACGTCTTCCGTGAGGTTGCTGTCGCCCGTTTTCCTGTCAGGTTCGTCGCTGTCCTCAGTTATCGGCTCAGACACAGCCGGTGAAGCCCTGTCGCTGGTTGATAATGAGCAGCATGGATCTAGTGAACCTGTACTGTCTTTTGGACCTAAAGGGAGACAATGCAACAGAAGAACTTGCTTAAAAAAAGACAATCAGACATTAAGATACATTCTCCAAATACTCCGTTATCTTCAGTCAGATTTTTTAACTGGCTACACCGTCCTTCAAACTGTTTCTTATAGTAACTGGTTCATAGGATAATCTTCGAAGAGTCAAACTGTCGACACACTTATTGTTGCACCAGAAAACAAAAATAAAAGGGAAATTTTCACCTGTTTAAAAATCGTGTTTATTGTGTGTCGTAGTATACCCCTTGTCAAAAGTTTGGACAAGCATGGGCAAAGCTTAGGCGTTTTGACTGGATTGCATAACACATAATACATTCGACTAAGCGGTTTCAGGCCCGATTATGATACTTATTATTATAAATATAAATAAGAGTCCAACAACATCTTCCCAAATATGCTAGTAAATACTAATTCAATGTTTGGCTGTTGGTACTGATATGGGACTTTCATTACATGTAAACACAGTATGGTGATATTGGAGTTTTAAAATAAGCGTATTTGGCTGTGAACACCAAAGGGTGGGGCACTTTGTTCTGAGGTTGCATATGAGTGTCACAAATCCACCGAATGTGCGTAAAAGCGTCATGTCGACGTTCCGTACTTCGTTTTTGTTTTGCTTTGTATTCTGGGTTTTTGTGCGTAATCCGCGTGCGTAATCTTCAAGCCGTACCATGGATCTCATGACAAGCAGCCATGCCGTCAATAGAGAACGAATTTCAGACACGAAAACGTTAAGACTTGCATGTGTTTTGCAGCTCAAAAATGCCCCAGCTTTTTTCACCATTAAAAAAAGATGACTTTTAATACTCCTATTGTAGATAGGAGAGCTCGGTCAACTAAGGATGAGTAAACGGAGAACCATAGTTACAAGTGTGGGTGTCACACCTCACTCGCTTCAAGTTTGCTGATTTTATCTAGGTTATATTTAAAGAGCAGAGAAGTGACTCGTGACTTGCTTGTATTTTCTATGAGTCAATCATATATGTGACTGAAATCCTGACACCAAAGTACGGTTCCACAAGACTCATTAGGCGCATTCCGGAACACTTTCTGTATGTTTATCAAGCGAAACTATATTTTTTAAAAGAACTATATGGAAAACTTACACCAATACATTTAATATATATATTATTGTAAGATCAATAGTTAAAAATGTCTTGTTGCACTGCACACGGGCAAGTGAAAAGACCTTTAACTTATTTTAGGCACGAACTGTTTTCTAACCAATATTTAACATGTTCTCGTGGCTCGTGAAGCTGTTCTATACTTACTGTGTGGTGTTTCCAAAGCTCTAAAGTTGAACGCAGTCCCTTCGCGGTACCACTGCAACAGCGAGTCTCGGTATAGAGACCGAGCTAATGAGTTGACGTCGGGCACTGAGCCGCTTGTGTCGGTGTGATATGCGTTTAGTTGTCTTTCGGTGGAGATGTCCCCTCGACTTCTATCGGTCATCGACTCCTCTACATCCTGCCTCTTGCTCAGCAGATTCTCGATAAAAAACGACGACGCCCTCGATGAAGTGGGAGCCTGAGTGACCGTCAGTTTTTCCTGCATGATCTATCGATGTCGCGATGCTTTTACACAAGAAGCCGATGGATTCTCTTTTGATCGTGCCTCAACGCAATCTAAAGTCCAAGCAGTCATTTCCAGCGATGCTGCCTTTGCGCTGTGTTGGGACGTGTAGTCATGGCCGAGACTGCGATCCCTCGGTGCCCACAGGAGGAGAGCGAAATGGATAGAAGGAAGTAGCAGTATAGTGAAACGTCAAGTCAAACGATTAATGAGTCGAGGGCATCCAGCGATTGGACGAGCACAATAGCAAATGGGGGTTACCAAGAAAAAGAGAATTACGGTCTCGTGCGTAAGCCTCTGCTGCTACTCCGTGCGCGCGTGTGTGTGTGGGTTCACGTTAAGGGCCGTCCCCTCGAGGTCATCCAGACAAGAGAAGACCTCTGTTCTTGAAACAGCACTCTCTTTTTGGGCTCAATTAGGGTTCAAATCAAAATAAAGATCCGGCAGGGAAGCAATCATCCTAGAGCCTTGACCTCCCTGCACTCAGTACAGAGAAGGATAGAATTTAACTTGTCAAATTCAAATAGATTCCACCACTATCCAATAACTGTACAAACAGATATTATATGCATATCGTTTAATTATTTTATAGGCCTATTACGCCGCCATATAATATCTGGAAAGTATTTTACAGCAGCTTGTAGATTCTAATGTTTCAGTTATCCCATTTATCCCAAATAAAATGATTTAGTGCTCCGAATGGTAGATTTTTTTTTTTTACCTAATGTTTCTACACATGAGTGCACTGAACCGTGCTAAACGGCACGAGACGCTGCACCTTGAAAATAAATGCTGTCAAAGGTTATCCAAACTTTCCGCAATGGCTCAGATATTCCTGATAATAAGCATGTTTATCTGAAGCTGTGCACTTCATGGCTTTATTAAGCCCTACTACACATGATTTTCCTTACATGTTTTGGAGTTGATCTGCAAAGATTCAGGACGTATCTAAATAAAGCTGTTTCAGCATTGGGTATCTGAGTTGTAGATATATAAATTTAAATGAATAAAGGTAAATAATGGGCTGGTGTAATAGAAGTGGATTAGTTTGAATTTGCCATTTACAAAACAAAGTTCAGTGCTTTCAAGGATTGGACTTCATCCTGCAGATTAAGA